GATCATCATTAATCAGAAGTTTGTCAATCTCTGCTTGTCTTTTTCTGAGTTCTGTCAGCTCTTGATCCAGATGTTTGTGAAGTTCCTCTGCTCGATCTATCTCAGTCTTCTCCTGAGCTCTGATCTGCTCTTTAATCTCAGAGCGTTTCTTCTCCAGAGAGCAGATGAGCTCAGTGAAGACCTTCTCAATGTCCTCCATGCTCTCTAGCGATGAACTCTGTCAGAGACACAAATATCTGATCATGGAGATTGTTGTGACTCAAAACAATGCAGGAAGAAAGTAAATTAGTGGCAGTCAAGCTCCAAAAGTCTCAATAAGAACATCATGAATTGTGTCACGAATCTTTTAGCAATTTTTTAATCAATTTTTGGAGCTCAAACCCCATTGGTCATGGTGTATTTTAATTTAATTTTTAAAAAAAACTTTTTTGCATGTCAAACAAACTTTAAAACTAAATAACACATAAAAAAACATACTTTAAGAAGCTTCACAGCTTCACTGAGTTCCTGCTGACCTCTCTCTCGCTCCTGGATCAGCTTCAGACACGACACCTTTATCTCCTTTAACTCTTTCTGAGGATGTTAAGATAAAAAAATATAATAAAAACAGGCAAAAATAGACACCAGTCCAGTAAAGGATATTATTGTTGATGTAAGATGTTACCTTTTTACTAGTCCATTCTGAATCCACAGACACCACACTGTGTCCTTTATGATTATCAGTACACAAACAGCAAATGCATTGATGATCATCCTGGCAGTAAATCTCCAGAAGTTTCCCATGACTGAGACAGATGTTCTCCTGAATGTCTCTGGAAGCTTGGACTAGTTTGTGCTTCATAAACGCAGGAGATTGATAGTGAAGCTGCAGGTGAGTCTGACAGAAGGAGGCCAAGCACTGCAGACAGGACTTTACAGCTCTGTTCTTCTCTGTAGTGCAAACATCACACTCCACAGCAGCCGTTTGTAGAGACGTCTTCTGCAGCGTCTCCATCATCTCAGCTATCAGAGTGTTCTTCTTCAGTAGAGGTCTCTGACTGAAGCTCTCTCTGCATTGGGGACAGCGGTACGGCGGCCCCTGCTCCTTCTGGCCCCAGCAGTCAGTAATACAGCTCATACAGTAACTGTGTCCACAGGGAATCGTCACCGGCTCCTTCAGAGGATCCAGACAGACTGGACAGCTGAACTGATCCACATACTGACTCGCTGCAGACCCAGACATTTCCTCTTCTCTATTTCCTTTGCCTCTTTTTTTTTCAGATAGTCTGCACCTCTAATAGAAACTGTTCTACCAGAAATATAGCACCACAACAAAAAAAAGAGTACATAAATCCACATGTAAATCATAAATGAAAGAGCACGTCTAAAAATCTACCAAATGTTTACAGTTTTGTGTATTTATAAGAATGACCCTAAACGCTTCATCCCTATAACCAAAACAATAAACATACGACATCAAGATTAACACAGAATACAGTGATCATTTAATGCTCTTTATTTCAACACAAGCAAAAAGATACAGGAAAAAACATTATTTAAGGATTCTATGAAGTTCTCACCTGCTTTGGTAGAACACAAAAGTAAAATATTAACCCGACTAACGGTTCCGTTTTTCTTGAATCCACACACACGACACTTCCTGGTTTTCAGTGTGCAGATGTGCGCATGTGTCCCGAGAAACAGAGCAAGTAAAGACCAAGAGTGTGAAGGAGATTATAATTTGATGCCATGACTTTGCAGTTTCATTGCTCCCTCTGTATTTTGTTCAGAATCATATCGTATCTCTCCACACCAATATGACCGGAAGTAAAATGTACGTTAAACCAGAACGCAAAAATCACTAAAGAAACGGCGCGGACCATGCCAAGTTATCAAAGTTATCTTGCTTTGGCATTAAATGATAATAAACTGTGATTAAACATACACAATAAAACATAACGTTATTTATAGTATCTATCACAGGAACGACAACGGAAAATTAGCTCTTCTCCCGTAGTAGACAGTTACAGTAGGCTACGTAGGCTACAACGTCACGAAGTAGAAATTAATGTCGCTCATGTATATTTTTTTTTCAGAACCGTTCAATCGCAGCTGTTGCTTAAAGTCCATCATTTTCAGACCAGTCGAATGGTGTCTAACTGACAGAAAGTGTGTTTATTTGGGCTAACTACTTCACTTCCAGCCCTCAGCCCATTGATCTTTACTTTAAATTGGCTGGATGGTATTGACATGACCTGTCAGAAAACTTTTCTTGTTTTAAAATGATACTTCTTGATCACAAGAGCAGATATTAATACAGCTGTGGAGAATTAATTTTCCATTGCATCTTTGTCTATTTAAAGGTTTCACAGCTGTTTCTCAGCTTTGTGTCAACACCTTCAAGTCAGATATACTGAAGTTATGAAACAGTAATATTGCAAGCAGGCTTCACCCTGAAGTCAACCTCATCCAAAAATTTTTGGTCAACACAGTGAGCCAATTATTTTCCCAAACTAATTCTGACATCTTGTGGTTTGATGATGAACTGCATGAATTATATGAGCTGCAAAGTTACCTGGCTAAATGAGCACTTTCATGCCAAGATGATGAAATAGACATAACTTGGTCACTTATAATTTGCCACAGCTTATAGACCAATTTCCAGCCGACGTCACAGTTGCGTCACGGCGCTAGCTGGTGGCAGAACAAAGGGAAAACTGGAGGCGGCAAATACAAACCAGCACAGATTCGGCTACAAAATAAGGATCTTAAATTATTCTTCTTATTATTAAATGTCATCTTGTTGTGTTGTTGGGTGCAAGAATCAATGAAAAATTAATATGCTTTATCTGCAACTTTTTATTTCTAGAAAATATTCACCTCATTAAAATTGCACCGTAATGTCAGTCTTTACATTGTCGTCTTCATGGTGCTGGCTCGGCAGAACTGCGGATCGTACCACACAACTTGTACATGACCATTCAGCACATAGTTATAGGCATCTAAAGATTTATATGCCCTCCGTTTCTCTATCAGGTAGGTGTAGAAGTCCGGCCACTCAACCGGAGGTAACGTTAACGTTAATCCTGTCAGATCGTCCAGCGTGTAGGCTACAGTACGGGTCGGCCAATCTGGTTCTGTCCGTTAAAATTAACTTTTGCAAATAACAATCGCGGTTCTGGACAGTGAGTGGCCTTGCACATTAAGATAAAATCGGATTTTCTCCAGTCATTGTTAAAAACTAGCTAACAAAACTTGCAGACTTTACGTTAGTGAAGCGGCCAGAGGGATCGTTCTGCCACCACCTAAGCTCCGCCCACAGAAAAACGTCACCATGTTTACTAACTGAAAATTGGTCTATTGTTTTGAGTTTTTTTGTCTCCTGAAATTTATTGTAATGATAATTTTGCAGTGTTTCGTCAGCAGAACAATCCAAAAACATTAAATAACAGTACAACCCACTGAAGAGATGTCTGTCCCTCAAGAGACTCTTTCATTACTGTTGAAAATAAAATCTGGCGCTGCTGTGAATAAGGTCTACACTATCAGTTTTTATGAAATTATTTATATAAAAGCATAACCATAAGTTTAACTCGCTACTAAAACGAACGGAGAAGCGCGTCCCTTTATTAGTTTACATACAAGCATTCTTTAGCGGATTTAGACTTTTTACACAGGCAAATAATAATAATAAAAACATTAGTTTTATATTCAATTAATTTACCTGCTTTTTGACAACTAAACTATACTCTCCTCCCAAGTAGATTTGACCCAAATTAACAGCAGTATGTACCTGTAAATGCTGAATACTTGTGTCACTCAAGTTAAAAGGGAATTTCTGGGTTACTGGAATACACACACATTTCCTGTGCACACAAAATCTCTTGGTGCATGTGTGAAAACAAAATTAAAGCAAAGAGAGGGACTGGCATGTCTAAACATAGACAAATCACAAATTATAAATTTCTAACTCTTCACAACGTACAGTGAGAGTCAAACACCCAGCATCTCCACCCAACCCAAAATAGACACGTCCTTTCTTTGTTTTCTCATATGCATTTATTTTTCCATAAGATCAACGGCTGAATATTAATGTCATAATGAACAGTGACAACAGAGCAGGTAATTTCACCTTTCACACCAAATTGACTGTAAACAACAACGACACACTAAAAAAATAAAATAAAATCAAACGCTGGAATCATAAAGGCATAAAAGAGTGAGAGAGTCAGATACAAAACTGCATCAAAGAGAAAACATGAGTTTTGACAGCTTGACTTTGTTTTATATTTTAATGCGTTTTCCCTTTGTCCACACTGCAAAAACATTTTGTTTAACAATATTTTTGTCTTGTTCTCCTGAAAAAAAGATCTAAAACACACTTAAAACAAGATCAATTCACTTGAAATGATTTTCAGTAAATATACACCGAATTGTTTTTGTCTCAACTCATTAGCAAATATCTTTTTTTGTTAAGTATAAATCTAAAATAAATTAAGTTTTTGCTTTTTTGAGGTTATTATTATTAAATATTAATACAATAATAATAAATTCAATATTGTCTGAAAAAGTCTAAAAAATCTAATGTAATTTTGCTTTTCGAGTTAATGGATCTTGTTCAAAGGATTTCTAGGTATTTTTATGGCAAAACAAGGCAAAAAATGCAAATGTTTTCTTTCGCAACATGAGCCGCCACAAACTCTCGTTTTGTGCTCCGTGTGTGAGTGTGTGTGTGTGTGTGCTTGGGATGGGCCACAACATGTCCACCAAAAAAATAAACTTATTTTGTGTAACAGTGCAGTGGCTTTTTTTTTATTCTTTTTTTTAAACTAATTTAAATAATTACTCCTACTTTCTTTAGTCATTTTTTGTGCTGAGTACATATATTTATTTAAGATTTTTTGTGCTAACAACCTACTTTGGCTGCAATGATTGTTACATTCATGTGTTAAAGTCAAACATGGGAAGCAAACACACGATAACCTGTATAAATGCACAAATATGACACTCTGAGACAAGCACACAGTTACCTGTACAGTGTCAAAACGACAAAACACTCTCTTAGACATTTTTTTTTCTTTTGCAGGTCCACGTACACATGTGAGCATAGTGTCAGGTATGTGAATCTATGTAGGATCTTCCTGCTTTTGCACTGCATGGTGTAAGAGCCACCCGATTGGCTGTTTCCAGACAGGAAGTGAGCCTCTGTTTGGATCCTCTTCGATTCCTTTCCAGCTCAGAGCTTGATAAAATCCCTTGAAGCTTTGATCACCATCATAGTACAACAAAGTGGCGGACAAAACCCTCAATGACCTGCCAACACAAGAACAGCTTTTCTCTGACAGAACCAAACTGCTAAAACCACATTCGAGATCAATCTGACGTGAAGTGCTGTTTGAGATGGAAAGCCAAACTCTGAGGGGGTTAAAGGTGAACTGGTGCTGATGTCAATGTAACACACTCCATCTGACTACCATCGTTAGTCAGGTATGTCAAGGCTTTTTAGAAGCAGCATCATTTTAAAGAACATTAAAAGAGGGAAAGGGAAGGAAAAGCTTCTTTCTAGACACCAACCTTTTAGTCATTACCCTGTTTCTCCTAACACCTTCCTCCCAGAACACACACCATTTGACAAGGTGAATAAAACCACATAACGTCCTGTCCATGAGGCACCTCGGGGTCTAAGGTTAGCCATCGAGCAGGTAGACGACGAACTCGTAGGTGCACATCATGATGGCCGTGTTGGGGATCTGTCTGACCAGGTGTGTGGTGAGTCCTCGGTAAAGAGCTCGATAGCCTTCCTCTCTGATCACTAGGTTGAGACTCTGGAAGAACGCGCGGTACTTGTTTCCTTCTTCCCTTAGCCGTGTACGGATGACCTCTGCAGAACGGAACAGAGAAAAACAAAAATATGAATGTTGAAAACAGGTGTGCTGCTTAAAGGGGTCATATAATGGTACATACACTTTTACAAGTTGATTGTACTGAAATGTGTGTTGGCAGTCCCTGTACACAACCCTCCTATAATGATAAAAATCCATCCAGTGTTTTTGTTTTAATCTCCTTGTATGTTTTCCCCTGCCTCAAATTGAGCCGTTCGATTTTGTGACGTCACACGGTCGGACGCCCCTCCCACGATTGTTGATTGACAGCAGCGTTTCAACACAGACCCGCCCTGAGCGAGCGGTCATCATAGTCCGGTATTGTTAATACGCTGGAGCAGAATGGCGTCTAAGCGATTGTGGTGTTCTGTTCTTGGGTGTAATAATCAACACACCAGTCATTTTGATGTTCCTAAATCCGAACCGCTGAAGACGCAGTGGCTGAGTTTTGTTTTCGAAGGGAATATTCACCAAGATCAACGTCAATGCTTTCATGTTTGCATGAATCATTTCTCACCAGACTGCTTTATAAACGAGGGTCAGTATAAAGCTGGTTTTGCTAAGAAGCTGCTCCTGAAAAAAGAATCGGTACCAACTATTCGTGTCCCTGCTGCACCTCCAGAAGAAGTGAGTGTAAAGTTTTATTAATCTTTAAATTAATCTTTGCAAATCGCGAAAAAAAGTTGTTCATGACCATTAACTGTAACATCAATCTGTCAACGAACTAACGTATACATCAGTAAAACACATAGCGTTTGTATCTCACTACTCTACCCTGCCAGTGCATACAAAAATAGATGCTGACATTGTTAACCAACAATTCAGAAACGTCCTGTTCGAGCCTTAATTGTTGAACTTTTTTACGGCCGTCATCTCGTTCCGGGTGCGACTCCAGTTCAAACTGATACGGTTGCACAGATGTGTCCTCAGAGACTCCCGCTGCCATTCTTTCTCCAAAATATACCCTCAACTGTTGTCAAGGAAACACTCCACGTGCGTTGTGTCAAAACGCCCCCAAAAAACAGAGGGCGGAGTCAACAAAGCTCATTATCATTTAAAGGCACATGCACTGAAACGGCGTGCTGAAAACAGAGCTGTTTTTGACCAGGTAAAATTAGTGTTTTCTTACTATTTAGGATTTATGGTGATTACAAAAAAAGGAGTGGATGGATTTTTACCAATAGAGTCTGGTTGCTTACACACACTGGTGGACACACATCTTTGTGCAAACACCTTATAAAAGTGAATTTAGCATAATAGGTTACTCTGATGGGTAAATGCACATGCTCACCGTGTGGATAGGCTATCGATGTGGCGCAGGTCTTGGAGGTTGCGGCTGCCAGCATCATGCCCACAAAGTCTGAGGCGTCCTTGGCTGTGTCCTCATGCTCATCCATGTGTGTTGCTGCTTTAGCTTCTAAAAGACGGCGTTTGATGCTTTCATAGATCACAAAATGGATCACAGTCTCTGAGATTCCCGCGTAGGATGCAGACATGCCGCGGTAAAACCCACGTAGGCCTTCCTTCTGATACACGCGGCTCACACACTCAAACGCATTCATCCGACGCTCCCCACGGTTCCTGTGCAGAACAAAACATGCTTTAGTAAATGAAAAACAATGGGATCAGGAATAAGAAGCACTAGTTCATGTTAAACCCATTATCTCAGACTAAGGAATCAGTCATTAGGGATATTGATCAAACAATCTACTTTCAACTCACGTCCCACATATCTGTTGGCATTTACCTGGCATCCAGTTGTAGACGCGTCTTAATCAACCAAATTGGGTTTGTTGCCGTTATTGCCGTGAACCCTGGAAAGATTAAGGTGGAATTTTACTAAGCTGAAAATTAGGGTTTCTGTGTTGTACCAAAATTGATTTATCTTAAATTTACTTTTCTAGGTTGTGCAGCAGATAAGGGCTAAAGCCAAATGGCAAAACCTAAGAGATACACACATGAGGAAAAATGTATTCTCGGACAGCGCCACCTATCGTGCAGGAGTGAATTAGCTAAAGGCAATCAATTGTTTTGCGTTCAGTGTGAAACCTCTGTTCGTCTGCAATTCGCTTAGCTTTATCGCGTTGCGATCAGCGTGAAAGGGGCTTAAAGGTGTAAGAAAACTCTAGCATATGTACTCTGAGAGAGTTAATCTAAATCCTTCTTGGCAAAAGTCCAGATGACAGGTGAGAAGAGACAACACACACCAACACGCTCACTTCTGGCCATCTGCCGGATCTGTGACATTTACTGGCCTGATACTCAGAGATAAAGCATGAAACAAAGGGGTTAATGTGTTAACCAGTCCCTATCTGAGCCCATCAGAAACAGGGACGTAGTTGAATTGCATGGTGAAATATAACGGAAGTTACCTGCGATCCCAGCAGACGTCATGTGCACCTGCGTGGAGTCTGGCTCAAACACACAGTTCAGTCTCTCCTTTGTGCTGGAATAGGCAGCGAAGTAGATGGCCCTGAAAACACAGCAGGACAGGACACAAATGAGTAACAATAACACACAACCTAACCTACTTTACAAAAACAGACTGGTCAGGCTGGTTTTGGCCACTTGGTTGCCAACCAGATAAACCAGCTGAATACTTTTTTGCCAGAATGCCAGACTAACTAAGACAAGCAAACCATTCTGTCTGTTTTAAGATGTTCTTTGCAGCAGGGAAGCTGGTCATTAGCTGGTCCAAACCGGTCATTATCTGCAACAAAACAACCTCATACTAGTTGGAACTAGCTGTGACCAGCTTATTTCCAGTTTGAATAGCTAGAAACCATCTACCGTGTTATAAACACAACTACCAAATCCAATGCTTGATTTTTCAAAAGTATAAATGAAATGCAGCCAAATCTTATAACGCACCATCATTCTTATTGCACAACTTATAGCATAGTTTAAATTCATACATTTATATTTTTCATAGCCTTGAATTTGCACATTGTTCCGAGAAAACATTGGACAATATGTTATTGTTCAATAGACTTTTTCCAATAAGATACAGAAATCTGATTAACATCATCTTGACCAGGCTGGGAGACTAACTAAACCAGCTAAGACGAACAAACCATTTAGGTTGGTTTAAGATGTTATTGGATGTTATTGACTTACTGGCCTAAGTCGGTCATTATCTGCAACAAACCAACCTCATAATAGTTTAAGGCATGTTTTGGAAAAAGCTGACTGGACGACCAATAAATCTCCAGCTCATTTCCAGCTTAGTCCAGCTAGAAACCATTTACCAGTTTCCAAACACAACTACTAAAACTAAGCATGATTTTTCAAAGCGATGCAATGCTGCCAAATCGTTTAATGCAACATGGTTGTCACGATACTGGAATTTCCAACTTCAATACGATGCCTTTAAAAAAAACATTGATATTCGATGCTATTTACACTACCACAAATGAAAGTAATAAAATGTAAAATAACACTGGATATTTTCATTGTAAAAATGAATGCTTACAATTAAAGTAACAAAAGTTATTCAGTCAAGAGCAGCAAGTGATGTTCTCTTGTCTTTTGTTCTTTGATTACCACGACAGACAGCAGCAGGTTTATTAGGCTGCTGTCACTTTAAGAGCTTATGCACAGATCCAATATACTGTTACACAACATGCGTTCCTCTAAACTATTTACGTTCCAAAACTGACTGTACTTATCTGAATACTCGACACGAAGGGCATTTTGACACAATTCTGTATGTATTTAACTGTTTAAGCGCAATAAGCCACAAAAAAAAACCCCTAAATTTGGTACTCGCAAGCTGTTTGAGAGGCGGCTTTATGAGAGCGCCACTTATACAAATCAGTGGTGTGTGTGTGCTTTTGGTGGGAGCGCGAAACCTGCGGGAATGTCTAAAATTATGCGCAATACAAGCACTACTCTCTGTGCAGCTGTTATCGGTGTATCGATATACTGCAGAAAAGGAGTAATGGGACAGTTTCAGATATTTCAGTATCGATACATATCCAAATGGCAATATTTTTGACAACACTAACACAGCATACACCCACTTTTCGGAACACCCATTGGGCGACAATGATGCCTGCGTACGCAGCTCACAAGCTGTTCTTCGCAAACCCCCACATGTAATCTCAAATGTTTGCACATGCAGTTTCCTGAAGCTGTTAACTGAAGCATGGTGACCACTCCAACATTAAACACTCTCCACACACGCTCAGCAACTAATCTCAAGTTCAATCTCACCTTCCTGTCCATATAACACACACGTTTACATAACTTTAAGTAACAGGCCCAGCATCAGTAGACACAGATTTATCATGCGTGCCTCATTGGATAAACGCTTTATCCCGAACGTGTGCACGTAAAACATCTGTTCATACAGAAGCTAAATGTTAAAACCACCATTTATCATGCCCGCTCATTTATTTAATTGCTCTTTAATTTGCTGTGCTGTTCTTCTTAGAGCAGTTTGTGGGTTGTTACACCTTGACTGAAGGCTCATTTGGATTTCTGTTTATAGGCTTCATTGTTCCAGAAAACCTCAAAAATGCTAGAGTGGCGAAAAAGTGCAGCAAGTAATCGACAAGTGTTAACTGATCTCAGATATTTTTATTGGCCTGGAAAACACATGCATGCTATCTTTATGTTGATGATATTTTCAGTTGTAATGTTCATTGAAGATTGCACTGTTTGTTTAGAATTACAATGGTTTTAGTATGCACTTTTCAAGCCTTAAAGAGACAGTTCACCCAAAACTGACTTTCTTCTGTGGAACACAAATCATTCTTCTAAATATATTTTGTGTTCTGCAGAAGAAAAGATGAATAACAGCATTTTCCTTTCAAAAGCCCTGTAATTTGCACCCTGCAGGGTTGACATGAAAAATAGCCCAAAACTGAACGCTGCATGAGTGTTTATCACAAGCCCTGCAAATTTGCAGCTTTACCGGTTGAGCAGGGATTGCATCAGCCACAATGCATTTTAAATGACTGTGTTTTCATTATGCAGAGATCAGGAATACACACTCTTACTGTACATGCTTTGTTTCACATACACTTGCTGACATGGAGATGTTTAACTGTATGAATAAACAAACACTTACCGTGAAGGAGCCACTCCGATTAGATTGGGTCCCAGGCCCCGGAATAAAGAACGAGGCCCTTCCTTCTCAAGAATTAATCTGAGACGGACAGAAAGAGAGAGAAACACATCAAAAGAAGTGCAAGACAAACATACCAGAGTGACATTTTTGTATTGAATAGCTTTATGAACACTATAAACACAGTCTGGTATTAGTAAAACATGTCATGTGGTTCCTGAGAAATGTTTGGGGGCTGAGGTGGAATATAGGTCTCACATTTTACTCCAAAATCAAAAGAAAGTATGACATTCTTTGTGTGACATTCATTGTGATATTTTCATAAGTAATTGGAAAACACCAAATTATCATGCAAAAATAATAACACAATATTTTGTTCTTTTTCCAATTAAAGATTATAAAATAAAATTGTATCCAGACAGCAGGGCTCCAGACTAACTTTGTTTACAATAAGCACTGTAGCCTCTTACTGAAAATATCAGGAGCAAAAGGAAAACATTTAGAGGCACACTTTAAATTGACCTGCAACGCAATTATTCACATTTCCCCCCCCCCATTTTACAAGTCAGAAGATATAAACTTGCAATTCTGACTTTTTTCTCGCAATTGCGAATTATAAAGTCCAATTCTGAGGAAAAAAGATGGAGCTTTTTTCTCAGAATTGTGAGTTTATATCTCAAAATTCGGAGAAAATAAGTCAGACATAAACCTGCAATTGCGAGAAAAAAAGTCAGAATTGTGAGATAAAAAGTCGCAATTACCTTTTTTTTATTATTATTAAGTGGCGGAAACAAGCTTCCACAGAAGAGGGAATGGCTCTTTTGAGAAAAATTATATCAATGGTTTGTTTTGGCATTTTTGCCTGAGCTGTTATTTAGACGCAACTACATTGAGGCACACCGATGACTCATGACCTGCGCAGTTGACTAAACACACCCAGAACCTCCTTCTCTCACACACAGGACTCGCTCCCTACTCGTCTTTCAATTTGAAATTGAAAAAAAATATATTCAAATTTACAAGGTCGCGCGACAAGTTGTAAAAATGCTTGCACTGTCTCAAAAAATGGTCACAAAAAGTGCGCATTTGGTCGCAGTCTGGAGCCCTGACACAGGTTGACCTTTATTACAGCTGTATTACAGTTCTGAGATTTTTTTTTTCAGGGGGGGTTCTTAATTAGAATGAAAATGTCACAATATCAAATAAATCTTAATATAAGCAAACCACAAGTTCATTATGCAAAATAATTAATTTTTCGTTCTTTGTTTTGGTACAATATTTTACTATACAAATCAATTAAAATGAATTATTTTAGAGTGAAATATAACCCAAAAACATTTCTTTATGAGAATTACCCAAATATTTGTTGCATCATCCAATAAGACACACCTCTGAGGAACATGTACAAACAAAGAAATTCCTTGAACACTCTTTTTTAAAAAGGGTGTGAGAAATTATTGTCAACGTAAACATAATTTATTACTTGCCAAATGTATTTTATTTATTTTCCATCTTGGACGACTTATTACTCGATTTAATCTTTTACCCCGGTTGTTCTCAAGTCACTTGTTGTGGTAGAAAAATGGGCCAAATGTCTTATAAGGTTACGGACATCAGGCAAACAATAATAAAAACGGTAAGTAAATAATAATAAAATGCAACTACCCATGTAACTGATTGTAACTGGGCATAGATAGCGAAATAAAAAGACTTAACTTATCAATGCTTTCATTCCAAGGCCATGCGTCCAATCAAAGTCTACTTTGATGCAATTTCAGGTGTCAAAAAGCCAAAATAGACAGATGCCAACGTGGACAGGTTGCATAACAAGCCATAAACCACGAGGAAGTGTATGATGTCAGAATCATTTACTCAATGTATTATTTTGATAAACGAGACCAAAGTATCTCTACATGTCTTTGTGTTTAGTATTTTAGCAACTCTCTGTGATGTATAACCCAAGTTAAACCGAGAGGACAAGGGGCCCGTTCTCAGAAGCAGTCAGTCAGACACACACACACACACACACACTTCATCCGAGAGCCAAGCACCAGGACGCAGCGTTTTAGTGTGAGGGCAACGATTGGTTGGGTAAGGGGGAGTGAAAACCACTGTGAACGGTGTCATTATTAAGAAAACAGAAAGAAAAGAGGCAAAGAGAGGGGATTATAGACTTTATGCAATATGCGCTGTGTGTGCAAACTGTTTCTGCCTTGATAATATATATACTCATGAGTCATATGTTTCATACATGGAACTGACCATGACAACTAAAATAAACAAATTCCTAAATGCCAAACCAATGGTCCCGATTTCGTCTCGTCTTCTGACTTTATTTAGTCACATTTGGTGGTGTAGTGAAGAAATATGACCACATTTTTGGAAAGAGACAACAGAAAGGGGGCGTCTCCTCTGGCACTCGGTTTTAGGCCCATAAACCATAGAGCAAATGTTTACAAAACACTGAGCTAATGCAACGCAGACTCAACGTTCCCACAACGCAGATGTAACATTCGCACTATTCCAGTACAGGGCGTTGCCTTTTTCCCAAACTAAAACCCCCATGTTAAATCAGACGAGTAAACATTCTCGTCTTTACTAAAACTCACAAAATTTACAGCATAGACATGAGAGTTTGGGTTTGTGGGTTTTTGGGTATCTCTGATATGTAATGGACAAACCTGCAATTAAATATACACATACCCTGGTGCTACTGAATAATATATTGTATGGTACTCCACTGTAGTGTTGTCAAAAGTACAGACTTCGATACCAAGTCGGTACTGAAATTTTAAAAATGTGACGCTTTGAGCGCTGTTGAGCATTCAGACACGCTCATCAGATATGTCTGTGATTGGCTACAATGATCAGCACTTCAAACACATGTCGTAAATATACATCAATGGCGCTCTTCACCGAGTGCTTACACCGATACACACGGGAGCGCTTGAAAGCAGGACCGGTCCGCCGATAGACGGATGCTTGTGCTTTCAAACGCTCCCGCTCTCGTTTTCCAAAACACTTTCAAACACGTCCGTGTGCTCTCAAACGCTCCCGTGTGTTGATGTGTATATGCACTAGAGAAAGTGCAAAAGGGTTTAACTTGTTGACGTGTGTACCTGAGGCAGTGAAGGGGCCCTGGAGGGGCCACACGTGCCATGCTGGCTCCATTAACTGTGCAGATGCAGAGCGTCAAGGAGGAAGACTGAAGCCTCGTCTTCACCACCTCTAATGGACACGTCAGGATCGCACCTACTGTGCCTCCACATCTGAGAGAAACAGAGAGCGAAAGACAAACATACAGTGAAAAAAAGAGACTTTTTTTCTGCAAAGAAAATCAATTAAAAGAAACCAAGTTGGAAAAAAAAGGCCTAATTCTACCAATACCAGTTGAAAGCTTGACCGCACAATGTGGGTCAGTCATGCAATAACTTCTTATCTGAAAGCCACGTGACTTTAGTCAAACATCACAACACCGATTTAGAGGAAACGAGGGCGATAGAATTTCAACTCCAATGTGAAAGGTGAGTCGCCCTTAATCGTCTCCAAAAATTGCACTCGTGCCGGGAGATGTGGGTCAGCAAACACAGTAACCCAAACCAACAGTCATGTGCCGGGAACAACCTGATATCAGGACTTTCCGATGGAAAAACGGCATCAACGTGAACTTTGATACATGTGATACGAATCTAAAGCTACAGAAATGTGATTAAGGAACAGTTTATCAGAGATAATAAACCAAACAAAGGTGGAATTTATGTTAGGTATCATATAATACCATGGTACTTTTGATTGTCATTCTCATACCAAGACTTAAAATACTATGGTATTGACATCATGTGCAAAAACAGTTAAGTATGCGAACAAAAGATGCCAGTACTTTGACAGTCTCTGTTAAAGGAGAACTCCGGCGCAAAATGAACCTTTGGTCTAATTACACATTGTTACCTAGTCAACCGTTATCTGAGATTTGTTTTCATGATTATCGAATGTAAATAGTTTTATCTCTAAAAACAGTTTAGCCTATAAAGCTAGTATAACGCTAGTATATTGGGCATAGTGTAATGACAAATAAAAATCGCTTGTTAATACCACTAACAAGGCTCAAAATAGCCCCACACTAACACGGTAGCATAATGAGGGTCCCTACCTTCAAACCGAAGCATTGAGAACTTTGTCAGTGTCCAGACAGTTTAATAAGAAGATATTTTAAACATACAGTCAACTTCGCGTATACAGACAGGAGCCATCTTTGAAATACAGTCTTTACCAGTCGATCTACGAACGCCGATCCAAGCCTGCTGTTCGCACTCACCTTATCACAACTTATAGCTCGTTCACATTCTCACCAGCGCACTTGGATCGGCGTTCGTAGATCGACTGGTAAAGGCTGTTTTTCAAAGATGGCTTCTGTCTGTATACGCGAAGTTGACTGTATGTTTAAAATATCTTCTTATTAAACTGTCTGGACACTGACAAAGTTCTCAATGCTTCGGTTTGAAGGATTGAGAACTACCGTAACAGATCAGGTCCCCGAAACTACAACTATCACTTATAAAAACCCATTCTTGCTATTAAAGTATTACAGGTGAGAATAAAGATTAAAACTGTCTATTGTCATTTTTAGCTTTTTACTATCTGGAAATATTTTAAGGAATAAGAACACAAATATCTTGAGGTTTCTCTCTCTATATAGACAGTACTATAAACATCAGTGTGGCTGAATTCAAGATCTCTAGGGATGATGGTGCTAGATTATTCATAGATTGCTGCAAACCACAACACATCATTTATATTTAGGCATGTTTGTACTTGTTGATTTTTTTGTCTGTTTCAGTATCAAGCGGAGTGTCTGGTCTCATATTTCAGGGATTCATTCGATAAAGCGAAGGTTGTGTTGAAAGTCATTTTGAAAGCATCTATCATCCCTGAATGACATTATGACAGCGGTCAGTTCCTCTGTTATATCAGATTTATTCTTCCTGTAGAAATGCAAACATTATCGGCAGTGTGGAGGAATGACCTCCTTTAATATGTGTATGTACGGTTTGTGTGTACAAGTATTTATATATACAGTATATATGGAATAAAAACATTTTATTACTATACTGTAATAATATGCATCAAACTAACATACGTTCAAATATTCAAGTGTCCTGAAAAACAAAAGATCTGATAACAGCTTTAATTGAGCTGAGCTTCAAGTGCATTTTGGAATATTAAGTGACGATAATGACATCATTAATCGTCATTAAGTAAACCCAAGAAGTTAATAAGCACTTAATTAACAGTAACACTTTAGTTTAGGGTTCAATTCTCACTGTTAACTAGTTGCTTATTAGATTTAGCATGCATAGATATTACTAGATCTTGGCTGTTTATTAGTACTTATAAAGCACACATTAATGCCTTTTTCTGCATGATCATATTCTTCATCCAATACCTAAAATCAACAACTACCTTACTAACTATTAATAAGCAGTATTTAGGAGTTTATTAAGGCAAAAGTCATAGTTAATAGTGAGAAGTGAATCTAATCGAAAGTGTGACCTAATTACCTTGACAGAAATAGATTGTTAATGAAATAAAATACTAAATAATGACTAAATAAAGCTACTCTTAGATGAATATCCAAAATCTGAATCGATCTTCAAACTCTCAATCTGTCGTCCTGTCGGATTTTCCGTCGCTTCTCAATTCCATAATAACCAAACAACAACTCCCTTGTTTTATAAAATGGTTGGTGTGAAGGTGATGACAGCACAGCATATGGTACAGTAATTCTTTTTTTTATAAAATAAACTGCATACATATCAAATGAACAGACTTTCCCTAATTTTAACACATGAAACTCAAAGGGGAAGTTAGGAAGTCTTGGCACAACTCCAACACACAATACAACATTTCAAAAATGACAAGCTTTCATAACAACAAGGTTTCACAACAAACTTTTAAAAAATGAGCAAAGGTGATTCATTAGACACAATGGATGTTTTACAAAGCATTTTCATTAAAAAATAACAACAACAAGAATATAAATTAACATTACATAATAGTAATTTAACATTAATATATATATATATATATATATATAAAATATTAATTGCATAAATATAAATTATACCAATCAACTAGTTAGTTGTTAGAAGTATTACTACTATTGTTACAAAAAAGACTCTATTTTAGTTTGAATCGGTATGTTTGTGTAACGTTACGTGTCGGAGTGGTGTTGAGTAAAGCTGTCTTACCCTCCAGCGAACAGATGCACCAGTGTGTCTCTCTGGCTCATCTCGGCTCATGCTCTCCGGGATCTACCGGACTGGGCTGTAACGTTAGTGTCAAAGTCCGTGTCCGTGTGGAGCTCATGCGGGTGGGTGTGAGACCAGCGGTCGCTACTAGTCACTTTATACGACCTCAAAGCGTCTCAACGCGGCTTCGCCTCCAACAAAACCCCGCTGGTCGATCCACGGTCAATGCTTATTCGATAGTTGGTCTGAAAGTGAGTCTGTGAGGAAGAGGTGACTACATACCACTGATCTGGGTCAAAATCCAAGTGGCAGTTTAGATCAGGGGCTTAAAAACGTGCACGTTTGCCCCGCACGCATTCACCTTCTTCGTGTACACTCACTTCTGCGACGTAAAACCGCTCACAGTTCACTGTCGATCGACCAATCAGAGAGCGCAAAACAGAAACGTCTATTGGTCGAGCTCAGTTTGCGTCACCAGAGCCCGCCTTCATCAAGCTTCTTTCACGTGATCATCGCCCTTTCACATACAAATGACATTCATAGGGTTACAGTTTAAAGATGTAATAAAAATGAAACTTTTTGCCTGAAATAACTTAACGAGAAGTTATTTTAAACACAGTTTTCAAATATCCGATTTGCTCCTCATTCACTCTCATTACTTCATCATTTGCAACATATGTATTTACATTGATATTAAAATGAATCGACCACCTCGATTATTATTATTAAAAATTATTATTATTTTTCTTTTCTTTTCTCTCTCTCAGATGCAGTATAGGCCCAATGTCTTTGAGGATAAACTTAAGGATTTTTTGTTGTTGTTGCATGGATCATAAGTTGATTTGCTGCCGTTGTGATTTCAGACCCTTACTGTGTTTCATTTGGCATCTGCAAATGGGAGGAGATGAGGTCGAATTCAAAACGGAAAATCTTGAGCTGTACTTTGAGAGCAAACAATAACTTTGTGCACAAAACACACTCTTTTGTTGACATTGTATGTTTCCCAAAATAAATTAAAAGCATAGTTTAGTCTTTTCTTGGACAGCTAACAAAAAATGTACAATAAATCATAATTACATAGGCTGTAAGGTTTTTTTTTGTAAGTTACGCAGGAATTGCATCTTAGCTGTATTAAAAAATAGTAAACAGGCGTGTAAAGGAGAATTATTGTGGCAATGGTGTGTGGTTAACTTTTGTAGGTCATCGTTTCATCAAAATGGTAAAGTCCTTGCACGTGTCTTCAACCTAGAGCATAAAGACAAAACTTATGCTGTAGTTCATATCCTTAAATGAAATTAACACTAATCAATACACTAACAATTATCAGATATGTAAAATACAACTAACGAACTTACATTCAAACAAAATAATCAGTTGCAGGGAATTAACAGAGACTGTGTCTTTGTGTGTGTGTTCAAGAGAGATAAAGAAACCAAGGATGAGATGAAGAAAGCATTATTATCACATCTGTCTGTAACAGGGGAGCTTCAGAAGACAGCGGCTCTTTGAACTGTGTGTGTTGTATAGGCAGAACTATATTTACAGTGATTCAATCTTCGTGGGTGTGTGTATGTGTGGCTTTAATTACATATGAGTCAGAGTGTCAAACATGCCTTAACTTGCAATCCTGTCATACTATAAATGTGTGTGTGTGTGTGTGTGTGTGTGTGCTTTTGTTTTTGTGATATATGAGGACACAAATGTGTATAATGACATGCATATTACACTGGTATTACAACTTACATGTGATATATGAGGACATTGCATGAGTCCTCATATTTCAAATAGCTTAAAAAACATAAAAAACAATGTTTTTTTTAAAATGTAAAAATGCAGCATGTCTCCTGTGATGGGTAGGTTTAGGGATAGGGGCAGTGTAGGGGGATAGAAGATACAGTTTGTCCAGTATAAAAGTCATTACGCCTATGGAATGTCCTCATATATCACAAAAACACAGCTGTGTGTGTGTGTGTGTGTGTGTGTGTGTGTGTGTGTGTGTGTGTGTGTGTGTGTGTGTGTGTGTGTGTGTGTGTGTGTGTGTGTGTGTGCCGTAAACGTGAAAGGGTGGAAACCACTTGTTTATGTTTAAAGGAAGAGTTAATTAGTTCACTAACTGGTTTATCAAAATAACTTACTTGTTCTCCTGCAGTTTCTCATTCCCCTCCCCACAATCTGTAATTGTTCGATCTGTAATTGCTGACACAGCTCCACCTAAAGCCCTGAAATGAGTTCAACGGGTATAGACGTGCAACAAGATATCAAAACATGCCACAGCATCGATACAGAGCCATCTATGGTTCAACAGTGACACTTGGGTTGCAGGTTTGTTCTGATAGCAAGGAAAAACAATGAATAAATGCAAATAACACAGTGCAACTAACCATGTAATTGTGCGCCTTGGATAATAAATAGGCTTACTATTATTACCGCTATACTTTAAAATGGAGGGGTTCATCTGCAAGGATAAACATGGTTTGTTGGCATGTGATCGATCGGCACTGCCTCAGGCATGAATCCGTCCAAATTCAAGGGACATTTAATCCTAATCCTAATCAACATCTGGGTCCTGGAGCAAAACCAGAACCCCCGTAGTAGATCATTGATAGTTTTCAGATCAAAGTGCACACACACACACACACACACACACACACACACACACACACACACACACACACACACACACACACACACACACACACACACACACACACACACAAGACACATACACACACACACACGCACACACACACACACACACACACACACACACACACACACACACACACACACACACACACACACACACACACACACACACACACACACACACACACATACCTACTTAACCACAATGTGAGGACGTATGACTGGGAACCCTACCTTTAGGGACACCCCTTTCTGAAGGGTCTAGAGACAAAAGAAAGACATGACTGCACTTCTGGAGAAGCTGTCATCACACTTATCACTTGATTTTATTAATAAAAGTCTTCCTTAAAGACCTGACATTTTGCCTTCACTTTAGGGACAGTATTTTTTATGTCCATTTTGGGGACATTAAACACAAACTCTGATCAAGTCATACTTTGAGGACCATGGTGATACACAGACTCTGGTTAAGTCATACTTTGAGGACCATGGTGATACACAGATTCTGGTAAAGGTATAATATCAGGACTTTGTTGAGATGGTATATATTTAGTGAGTAAACAGTTTTTTATTTTTATTTTTATTTCGTCAAGATCACAGAAAATGGGTAGCCAACATTTTTGTCTGATTTGTAGCTTGAGATGAAGTGTCCTTCACTGCTCAGTTGGGGAATGACAATTAACATTCAGAAATATTATTCATTTGACTGTATTTGATTGATTGACTATCAGAGAGAACCAAAGATGGAACTGAAGACAATAGTGTCATTATTCAGCTCAATTCTATTTCAACTGTAAAACAGCTCTACAGAAGTCATTTAATAATTGCTGAAATTTTACAAGTTATGTGCCTGAAGTAGAGGTCAGCACAGGCTTTAAACTTAAGCCCAAACCCGGCCCGTACCCGAAATCATTTAACCTGACCCGAACATTACGGTTATATTTTAAGCCTGAGCCCGACCCAAACCCGAGGTCCGTTTCTCAGTAAATTGCTTTTTTTTTGTGCAATATGCTGTATTTTATGATTGCTTGCCACGATAATTAAAAAAATAAGCTACATGTACAAACACCGTTTCACCAAGGCACATCGGCCCCTCATCAGTCAGCACACAAGAAAAAAAAGAGAAAAAGCACAGAACTTACTAATTACGAAACTTTGATGAGGTTGAAAAGGTGAAACAGTCATAAATTCCCCTGGAACCCAAACATTAAACTTCATAAAGTTTGCGCAGTTGCACAACTATTTACACAAATATAGCCTATCCTTCTCAGTCCGAGTTATGAATGAAGGGAACAGCATCGCGAGCTGATGTTTCAGCGCATCCTCTGACTGCGTGTTGTGACTGAAATTGTGTGTGCGGGAGCACATGCACAAAAAAGTTTTGTAAAATGATATATGATAAAATAAAAATGATTCATATATCATTTTACAAAATTGTTTTGTTTGTTATTTCGATCACATCACAATCAGAGGAGGACGGCTGAAACTGCACACATCTACTTTCTCTCTCGCGTGATCGTATAATTACGATCACAACACAGCAAGCAGCCGAGCACACGGCACGCAAACTAATATATATATATATAGCCTAAATAGTTTTTCTAAGACCACGGCCTGCATCCCTCTAGTTAATTTAGCATCGACTGCAAAATAATCATTATCACAAAAACATCTTGAGTCTTTGGCTACTCACTGGTAGCCTGGTTCTACCAGACTCTCGTACATTTCATTTGTACAGAGAGTCTGGCCTCGCTCCATTGAGAAACGTTTACTTCCTTGTAGGCGGGTTCTCTGTTAAAGTTCAAAACTATTGGATCTGCCCAGCGTCACTCAGGATCTGCCATAGCCAATCGCTAACGTGTGGTCGTGACGTATGTCATGCGCCGTAACCGGCTGGAAACAACAAGTCCGAATTCCATATTCATAAATCTAAATATCTAAATGCTAAACCTCTCTTTCTTATATTTGTGAAAGAATTTTAAAAATACCTCTTTTCAATTAAGTTGTCTGAGAACAAAAAAAGCCTTAAAAACATTAACTGTTTGTAATTATTTTCCTTTTTCAGTGTCATGTAATTCTCTTAACTTGTTCATGTTTATTTTATATTATCCTCCTACTGTTTTATTTTTGTTTTGTTTTTATTATTATTTTTTGTTTGTTTTTGTATTATGTTTTCTGTTATTACTTGTGTATTGTTTTAAGCAATAAAAAAACAAGTCCGAATGATCAGAGGATTATGTTTAGAATAAGATGTCTGTCAACGAGAGCTGCATGTTTTGTTCATCGAATTTAAGAGTTCAAGGAACAATTCTAAATTCTAAATGTTTATTTGACACTAAGGACAGTGATGTATTCAGTCAACTGTCGAAGCTGGGTGTAATCATTAACAATACGCCGCTGCGGTCGTTTCGGATCTGCCGCAAATGCTGTACAGTGATCATCGTGCACGCCGAGCTGCCCAGCACCAACTCCTAACCTTTCTGCCTCCCTCACTTGGTCCTCCATTAGTGCAACAAGAGGAGACGACAACAACTATCGGCTTTGCATCCTATCGTTCGCCTTAGCTAACTCATTCACCACTAGCGGAGTGAGCTGGAAAATTAAACTTTTCCCGAACCCCTTGGGGAGGAGGGCCACAACATCATGGCCACCAACAACACTTAGCAAACATTGATCTTGCTCCGGCTTTAACTTCTGGATATTCGGCAGTTTTGCAACAACGGACCGAATAGATTTTCTCACGTCTTTCTCCGCTGCCATTACTGAACTCCAACTCAAACTGACGCGCTACATCAACGTCATCGTTCTCAGCCACTCCCTCTGTTCGCTGATTGGACCGGTAAAAAAATT